GAGGGGGGGCCGGCGGGCAGCGGGGGGTACGCCGCGGGGTACAGCGGGGTCTTCATTTCGGCCATGCTGTGCAGGGCAGCCAGGGGCGGGCTGCTGAGCAGGAACGCGCTCTGCCGGGTGCCCTCCATCGCCCCCACCGCTAACATCCCACGGCCAGGCCGGAGCCGTCAGCCACACAGCGAGGGCGCCGGCCGGCGTCCCGGCGGGGCTCAGGAGAGTGAGAAGTGCCGAGGGCGCGAGCGTGGAGTTGCTCCGCGCTCTCGGAGGCGACCTGCCAACTGGGCCGAGAACGCCGCCGCCGAGAGTTGCTCTCGAAGCTGCGCAGCAGAAATGTCCAAACACGCCACTGGAGAGGCGGTGGCTCGCGGAGATCAGGGGGCGTCCGGGCGCGTTTGGATGTCCTTTCGCTCCTGGAGTTCCTGGATGCAATCTTGGTCTCTTCTCTCTTCCCACTTTTCCTTGCCTCTCAATGTGCACTACTTCTCATCTTCTCCCCCCAGAGAAATAAGCAAAACAAAACCCAGGCCGGCCCCAGAGTTTGCAACAAAGTTAAGAGTCACCGAATCTCCGCTTTGATGTTGGAGTGTGGGGACTGGATCGCTTTCTTTGGGGAGGTTCAAAGGACTCCAGGTTACGCCGGACGCGCTCCTCTAATCTTACTTGGCTGCTCTGCTCTTTCGCGGCGAAGCTGATTCGCACTTGGCGCTCGCTGCGCGCCGGGAGAGAGCGCATCCAGCCCGCGGGAGGATCTCGCCTCTGCGCGGACTTCCTCCGCCGGTTCTGCCCGGGGCCGGTGTGCCAGAAAGGGCAGTGCCACTAATCCCCGCCGCTCCCGGATTCGGCGCGCCAACCCGCCTTCTCCTCTGGGCCACTGGGCACTAGAGTTACAATATTGAAAAGAAAAGCGGGGAGAAAAGAACAGAAAAGAAAAGACTAAGTGCGAAAAGTCTGACGGCTTCGGTTACGGCTCCGCTCGTCTGTCCACTTCTGCAAACGGGCCTGGCGACCCCCGCCCCACCCCCCCCCAGCACCCTCTCTTCTTCTCACTCTCCGCCTTTGCCTCTCCTCTCTCGCATTTCTTCGCGGCTTTACAGGCTTCGTTCTTCTAAGCCCTGTCCTCTGGCCAAGCTGACCCTCTCCAGCGCTTCCACTCCCTCTCTCTGTTCCCTCCTCTCTCCTCTCTCCCTCCGGGCCTGACAGTTCAGATGAAGCTCTCAAAGGTAATAAAACATTTGCATCACTCCCTACCCTACTTTAGCTGGGGGACAAAAAGGAGGGGGAAGTGGGGGTCCAAAATGAGAACTTTGAGGGACGTCACACGGAGGCGGCCGTGAGGGGCGGGGCCGAGGAGCTGGGTGCAGGCCGGGGGCGTAACCACCGTCTCCAATTGCGCGCAGCCTGGGACCTCGCGTCGCCTCCTGGGCGCGCCCACCTCGGAGCGCCGCGCTCTCTGATTGGCTGAAGAGGACGAGCCGTAGTGCCGCGCCCGCTTGGTTCCCGCCTCCTCCCGTCTCCGTCCCTTCTGTGGGTGGGGCCAGGGGGCGGGGCCTGGCGAGTGGTGCGGTTCCGCCTTGGGGCCAGGGGACGCCTCAATTAATTGTGTTAAATAAAATGGAAAAGTGGCGGGGGGAGCAGAGACGAAGAGGGTATTACTTTTTAAAGAGAAGAATAATGAAAACCCAGACCTTTTATGGAAAAGCAGTTCATATTCTTCCCTCGCCTCCCCCCTCGCCTGCCCGCGTCACCCTACCCACCCCCCTTTCCCCTACGAGCTCGCGACGCCTCACCTCCAACAGTCTGGTCCCTTGTAAAATGGAGCTAATGGAGCGGGCAGCCGGCGCAGCCCTGGCCTAGCTCCTTCTTTTGAAGGGATTAATTAAAGGCCATCTGGGCTCTCTCAGAATTGTGTAAATTAATTTGTTGCTCCTTAAGCCTATAGATGTCCTTAATCCCCTAGTAGGCCGAAGGATCGTCCTCGTCCATTTTTGCCACCTCCCTCTTTCCCTCTCTGTTCTTTCTCGGTTACTTTTCTTTTCATTCCTAGGTCCCTTCGCAATGTTATAATTTATAGATTTAGTCAACACACAGAGAACGGAATCAGTTTAATAGGAATATTTGTTTCTCATGTGATGTTTAGACCTGAGAGGCGTGAGCTCTTTTTTTCTTTTAAGTTTTCCTTCTTTTGATTATTGTTGTTATTTGTTCTGAATTTACACGGGAGCAGAATCTCCAAAATTGGAGTCTATATACAGAAGCATGTAGGTACCCCCTGGAGACTGTAAGTTTTTGAAAACCATCTCTGAACCTGTAGCCCCTTGCCCTCAACTCCAGGGTTGCTTTGAGAGATGGAGATGTCCAGGCTTCCAGGCTGTGGTGATCGGACGTCTAAGATTTAGGAGTTGGAGAGTGGTTTCCTTTATTCCCTCTCTATCTTCCATCCCCGGTCCCTAGTAAAATGATCTTGAAATTGCCGGCAGGGTTGAGCTGTACAAGTGAGAAGGAGGAAGACCCCTGCACATTCTGAGATTTCAGGACGTTGAAGTAACACACCATTGAGGGGTGGTCATTAGAGCAATTTGGATGAGATCATCAAGTCCAAACCCAATTCTTAGAAAATAGAAATAAATATCTCAAGAATAAAATTTGAGTGGCATGACCCATGGGTGGAGTTTGGCTGTGAGTGCCAAAGCACTCATATGGGTCAAAGCCCCAAAACCCAGGAGGGCTTATTCCATTTTGATAACCCTCATTTCTAACACTTTGCTTTTTTAAGAGTGGCAGCTTGAGCTTGAGGTTTTTTGGTTTTGGTTTTGGGGGATTTTTTTTTTTTTTAGTTTTTTAAGTTGTCTTTTAAAAATGTTTTTGTTTACCCTTTGCCACTTTTATTATTCATTTCTGAAATCAGAGTAATTTTGTTCTTACTTGGTTCCCTCTTTCCTCTCCACCCTTCTGCATTAACTTCAAGACTGAGCTAAATCCATCACTTCACAGACATTAAGAATCTGACCTGCCGGAAGATGAATTCTTTCCTCCGCATGGATTATGCTGAGTCGGGCAAGAAGAGAGTTCCTGCACGGACCGTCTGCATTTTCTTGCGGGGATGTTCTGCTGGGCCGTGGGTCTAAACCCCAACACCCTGCCGTTTTGGCCAGAAGACTACGACAGAAGGATGAGGTAGCCCCGGCCCCTGTGGCTTAGCTGCTGGGGCCCCTCCGCCTCTCGCTTCGTTACAAACGAAACTTTTTCTTGCCTCGAGAGATCCCAGTTGGCGGTGACACACAATCTCCCTCCTGGACCCCGCTACTGGGCCACCAGCGATCTCATATTCCACCAGGACACCGCATTCTCAAGAACTAGGTAGGAATGGAGGGGGGAGGAGGCTGATGATCCCCAAATATTTCAATATCCGAAAGAGACCTCCCCTTTATTTCATGTAAATATTGTGACCTGCGAAAGAATTGGATATTTTTCTTTTTTACTTGTAGTATCTGATATGGGGAGGGGTGAAGTAAAGAAACAGAAAACAGAGAGAGAGAGAGAGAGAGAGAGAGAGAGAGAGAGATTCAACTCAACCAACTCGGGTCAACTGACTTTGGTAAATAGTTGCAAAGCTGGGTGCAAGGCGTCTCCACCGTTTGCTTTTACTTATCATTCACATTGAGGAATTAAAATAGCGACATTTTTTCTTAACTGTTACAATAAACAAACTCTGGGGTCTGTGTACCTCGATCCCCGGGGGGCGGGGGGTGAACCCTGGGTGCCTGAATCCCGCGTGGGGCCGCTCATATTCCAGGCGCACGCTGCGCTGCGCTGCGCTGAAGGAAAGCGGGTGCCTCCAGCCTGGTGCTGGTCGTCATCGATCTGCTCCGTCTGTCTCCAGCTGGGAGTGGAGAGAGCCAGAGGCGTCTTCAGAGGGGGGTGGTCTGCTTCTGTCACTCGTAGGGAGAGATGGCCCTGCCCCTGCAGGAGCATTACCACCTTGGGGGCTGAATGTTGGAAGAGCGGATCCTGACACTGACCAGGGAGGCCAGTTTCTGATTCGCGCGGTCTTACACGCAGCTTACAAACGCCCTAGAGAGTCAGGACTTTCCCTCAGGGGACCCCCAGGACCAGCACGCCTTTCTGCCCACGACCTAGTAAACTCAGACATTTCCAAGTCCAGCTAGGAGTAGATGCTAGGAATAGAACGTGTAACACGTGGTCGTCCCCTCCCATCTCTGCACAGTACATATATTGCGGGGGGGGGGGGGGGG